TCCTGGCTTGAGATAAGGACAGTTCAATAAGGCAGCAAAGGAAATACTAATACTACTAATAATAACAGAGTAATTTTTTTCTCACCACATGATGACCAATTTGCAGCCAGTCCTTGAGCAGTGATTGTGGAACTCACACATTTCACGGAACTCACGGATTTCGCTAAACTCGCCAAACTTATGAGAAAAAGTTTGAGCTCATGGAAAAAGAGAGTTCCTGCCCCCCGGTCAACCCCCATTCGTAAAATGAGGATGACGTCTATGGCATGGAATATTTCTGCTGGCCAGGTTGGGCTTGCTGCCTGGCTGTGCTCCCTCCGTCCTAGGCATTTGCCCATGCTACTCCACGCACCCTGCCACTTGTAACTATCCAGCCTTGGCACATATCTCCAGATGATACTCATAATTTGCTTGCTAACCTTAGACAAAACCGAAAGAATATTCCCAAGAAACACCAATAGAAGTATTTTAACTACCCAGGGATGTTCAAGGGACTGAAAAGTTACTGTAACGAAGGACGAAACATCACACCAGAGGGCAGTGAAGGTGCCATTCTGTACTTCCTCCACAAAAACCTCTCAGAGGAAAAAGTATAATTGCTAATTGTTTCCACGAGGTGGTAACCGAGTACCAGTAATAGCTTCAGTACCAAGCGTGAATACCAGATTAAGCCCAAGGTCAGTATTCTAAAAACAAATCTTGCAGGCAAAACATTACTTGTCATTGCAGAGTACAGCAGCTTGCAAAAGCCAACACCAACCTTTGACGTGTACAGCAAAAACGACAGCGTGATGAGGATCACAAACTAATACAGGTGGATCAATATTGTGACCTCCAACTGTTAACAGATATAAAACCCTTAATACACTCTGGTCAGATCTGTCATTATCTCAACACTTCGAGCCCCACGTTGGGCACCAGAAAGGACTGTCGTGGTTTGACCAGGCAGCCATTCGCTCCTACCCCTGCAGTAGGACGGGGAGGAGACTGGACAGAAAGTAAAACTCATGCGTTGAGATAAGGACAGTGCAATAAGGCAACAAAGGAAATTCTAATACTATGACTAATAATAGAGTATGCAGAACAAGCAATACACAATACAATGTTTTTCTCACTGCCCAATGACCAATTCACAGCCAGTCCCCAAACATCAACCATGGAACTCGCAGACTTTGCAAAAAAAGTTTCAACTCATGGAAAAAGAGAGTTCCTGCCCCCCAGCCAATCCCCACTCATAAAGTGAGGATGACATCTGTGGTGCAGAATATTCCCATTGCCCAGCCTGGCTAGCTGTCTGCCTATGCTCTGTCCCAGCTCCTGCAGACCCGCTCATTGACCAACGATGGGAAAAGTCCTTGATTTCTTAGCAACAACTGACAAAATCTGTTATCAACATTCTTCCCATACCAAATCCAAAACACCGCAGCTACTGGGAGGAAAATCAACTCGATCCCAGCCAAAACCAGGACACACACTTAATCTGAGAAAATGGCAAAATTTAAGTTTATGAGATTGTAATTTAAGAAAATACTTCTTTTCTCACAGGTAAGAAATGAAGCTGCTCCGTCTCACCTTCTATCACTGAGTCAGATCGTGTCATGCACAGAAACCTACTCAAGGATTCAAGACTGATCTCTTTTTTTTTCTACTGCAATTTTTAGCCATAAAAACCACATTTACATATCCTCTACGATTAAAAATTCAGTCTGGCCAAACACTAACGAAGTCGATACACAATGTTGCTTTCATGTGTGCTTCCAGGCCTGTGAGCTCAGTGAGAGCAGCAGCTGACATCATTTTTATAAATACGTACATTAGCATGACAGTATTTCAAGAGTTCAACCAGATACTTGTGTCCTCTAAGTCCTGAAAACGTCTCCTCAAGAAACACCTCTACGAATTTTAAAAAAACCTCTGCAACAGCACACTGCCTCATAAAAACCCGTGAAGAAAAGAATTTGGTACATTGGGGCAAACCAAAAAATAATCAATACTTTAAGTACCCTCTGAACAGAAACAGTGTCAGGGAAGAAGAAAATGGAAGTTCCAACAGAGAAGGGATGAGAAACACTGTCAAACGCTAACTTAAAAAAAACACCAAACAAAATGAATCTGCTTTATCAAAAGAACTCAGAAGTGTGTTTTAAGCAGCTGTAGGGTACAGTACAATATGTAAATAACTGAAATACTTGGCATGTGCATGGGAGATTTGTGAGGTGGGAAGGACAGAGTATAAAGGGGTGTTACAGGGTTAACATCCAAAAACAGTAGACTTCAGAAACCAAATTATTCCTGTCACACCAACCTACAACTTAGATTTCAGAACAGCCTTAAAGATGAGGGACTCTTCCACAGCCAAGACCCTGTACACTACGTAGGACAGAAAACCCACTCTGCTGATGCATTACCTTTACAGATACCAGAAAGCCTGGTTTGAGAAATTTTACTTCCCCTTTTCTCACCTAGTAAACAGGACAGAATATGTGCCCTTTAAAACTAATTGTTTTATATGCCCGTGAATGCTAATCGTGTCCTCAGACATAACGCTCAGGGGGGAGAAGCCTCTCAGGAAGGAGGGGCATAGGTCCTCTGGTAGCATGCTCCGCTATAAGGCACAGAAGAAGAGGAGCCCTGGAGAGGTGAAGGCTCCAAAGCTCCCAACCAGCTTAATGTACACTGGCCTCTGCGACTGAGCCATCCCGTAAGTACGTGAGAGCTGTACGGCACACAAGCCTTAGATTATAGACAGATGTACCTCTGGCTGTAGCTGAAATAAAGAAGCCACTAAAGCTTAGCCAGGCAACTGCCGAAGAGCAGACAGCGACATTCTGGAGGGAGTCAAGAGCCTGCACCCAGAGGGATGCTGTGAGGTTGGGAAAAACCTGTTAAGAAGGAAATGTCTCAGCTCCAGCAGTGCGTTCAGGCTGCAGCCCCAGGTTTAACATCACAGCTTCTGTGGAAAGCACCTCGCAGTCTGCCACAGCCGGCTGGCTGGCACTCGGGGTTTGGGATGCACTTTGGGCAGCACCCTGCTGTGCCCGATGCCCCTGGCCACCATCTTGGGTTGCCATGAAGCACAAGTGACTCTCAGAGCAGAGTAAAGCCTTCTCAGCTCAAACTCCTGCAGAGCACTAAGCTCCTCTGTGTCTTTGGACGTCTCCCCTCGTCATTAACAACCTGCTTTTCAGGCATGCCGCACCATCAGCTCCCACAGAAGCAATAAACATTTAGCAGCCCTTCTTAAGGTGCACACAGAAAGCTTGGTGCTGGCTTTGGGAAGCGGGAGATCTGAGTTATGTGTTATCCAACAAGGCAGTAGCCAACTTCACCTGAAATTAAGACTTAACAGAGACTTTTAGCCCTTCTTCTTGAAGACCTACATTTAGAGCCAGGTACCGAGCATCCTCCTGCGACAGGCGTCCCTGCACCCCTGGACACCAGGCAGCTCTCCTGCAGTGCCCCTCCACTGCTTCATCTGGCTACCACCACCACCACCACCACCATACCAGCAGCCACCACACGTGGCAAGGACCACCGTCTCTTGCTGGCCGGCTCACCTTCTGTGCCACCCACAGCTGTGATCAGAGGGCCTCGCGTTTCCATTAAGCAGTGAGTATAATTACACTGCTCCTCATCACCAGTGAAATCATACCAGGAAATTTAATAACAGATAAAAATTGAGAGGTTTATTAGATTGTCAAATTAAATCCAAGCATAGCAAATGATTAGATGTCTTCTATCAACAACACCATTAGTTTAATCAGTTTGATTTTAGCAGACAAATTATTTCCCAATGAAAACTACTCCTTTTTCACCTGCACGGTGACCCTCAGCATCTGCTAATAAAAGGGCAAGGTAACAGAGCTCAGTGAAAGACTGGAGATAAAGGGGGATTTACCTCCAAACATCAACCTTCTGAGTTTAAATACTTCACAAATGACCTAATTCAGTGTCAGTTCTGGTCATATCACTCTTTCTCAGTGGTCGTGCAAGTTCTGTTTCCTACTGTTCATTTGCAGCATTGCCAATTTTCTATAAATATAAGGGGTTCTCCCATTATTATCACATAAAACTTATTCTAAATACCTACAAAACCATATTATAATGTAGGTTACTTATTAGCTGCTGAAGAGAGATAGCAATAAAATATATCTTATAATTTAATAGGAGAAATACTGTGGCACAACTGAGGGAAATCTTTGTAATGAAACGGTAATAGGTTGAGGCATCTCATCTTTCTTTGCCCTCTTACAATTGAAAGAGTTCATAATAAAAAACGTATTTTACTGAAATAGATAACTACCTTTTAGAAAAAAGGAAAAACAAGCCAATACAGCTTGATATGATCATAGCAGAAAGCAGCAACTTTATAATACTATAAAAAATTAATAAGTTCAGATATTAATGATTATTTTTAAGATAACAAATAGCAAATTCTATGAAATCATGACTTGGTAGGTAAATCTAGGCAAGTGGGAATGCTTAGTTCAGCAAAGGAAGAAGAATATCACAATTACGTTTTGCTGTAATTTACAATACTGTAAAATACAGTAAAAATTTGATTAACACAATTTAATACAAGACACTAAAGTCAGTTATTTACATACTGACTTACACTACTAGTATGCCGAGTTTCAGCATCTGTGAAAGGACAGGAACAACTCTCACACACATTGATGCAATGCACAGTCGGTTTTCTTTATTATTCCGCTTGTGCGGTTATATACATTTTCCATATCTGTACATGCGATTACGCTTATTCGGATAAGGCTACAGACATAAATCACACGCTGTTCACACGCCCCACATTCCCTTATGATTGGTAACTATGCACTAACGCCAATAGCAACAGACAGCCTCCACGTCCTTGAACACATCTTGTTTTGCTAACCCACACCATGTGCACTATCAGAACTTTCTCAATGGCTATTCTTAGCTGTCTTTTCCAGCAGCCTGTTCAGTTATGCTGTTTTGCTTAAGCGGCATAGTCGTGCTAACTCTCAAGCTACATCGACCCCGACACTAGTAGAAGTAACATCACTCTGCTCCTCATTTCCTTCAAAGGATATTGGCAGGTCAATGCTAATAGCTGCCCTCAGGTTGGCCCAGAAAAGGGCATGCTTGCTCCTCTCCTTTGGCCACTCCAGGTAGGTTCGCTTTGCCATGAGAGCCTTCAGCTTGTGATACCTGGCAGGGATAATATATGCAGGGAGCGGCTCCAGTAAAATGAGGATTAAGCTGTTGGAATTCTCACTGAATAATTTGTGGTGGGCAAAGTACAGCTCGTAGTGACACCACTCGCTCTGCACAAAGTTGGGCGACAACACAAAGATCGACTTGTAGCTCTTCTCAATGCAGTCAATGATGTTCTCCACAATGCTCTTTCCGGGGATGAAGTTTCTCTCATGCTGGCACAGTTGTACACAGCCCTCCCCCTTCTCCAGGTTCGGGATCAGCTCATTCTTCACCCACAAAGAATCGCGCTCGCTGTAGGAAATGAACGCATGGAACTGCAGAACTGTCTCCTGCTCTTCAGGGTGGTTGTGCCAAGCTCTCCGCTTCGTCTGCGTCCACTGCCATGTCATCCGCACGTACCACGGCACATCCAGGTAGATGCACAGAAAGACCACCACAGCCACCAGCACCAGCGTCAGCAGCAGAGCCGTCACAAGCAGCAGCGCCGTGTTGCAAGCCAGTTCCGTCAGGTGGAAGTCCTTCAGCTGCGTTCCTCGCAAGCCTTCCGGGTACTCGCACTCATACGCCGACGGCCAGCCGAACAGCCTCCCCCCAGACTGCCTCTCCAGGTGGATAAAGGCTTGCAGTTCACAGGTACACTTGAACGGGTTGTGCCCGGCTTGTAGCTCCCTGACTCTTGGGCAGCTCTGGAAGAAGTCGGCAGATGGGGTGAGGATCAAGTTCATCTCTGCATTCAGCAACTCCAGGGACGTAAAGCTACTGCACCCCGGCAGGTCAGCCAGCCTGTTCGATGCCAGGTTCAGCTCCTTCAAGGATTTCAGCTCAGCCATCCCCTTGGCGACGCTGCTGATCTGATTGTTTTGTAGGTCGAGTTTTTTGATGTTGACCGGCAAGCACTCAAACACCAATTCCGTCAACTGATTTGAGGACAAGTCCAGCTCTGTCAGCGACTCAGACCATTGGCACTGCACATCAGCTCCATCGTGGCGCAGCAAGTTGCTGCTCATGTCCAGATATTTCAGTGATTTCATACGGCTGGTCATGAAGCTTACCTTGGAAAGGCTCTCAAATTTATTCCTCTTCAAAATAAGTAATTTCAGATCTGTCAGAGTGCCACAATTCTGGAACAATTCATCCGTCAGGGCATTGTGGGAAAAATTTAAATACTGAAATGAGCTCGTTCTATTGGGGCAAAGCATGTGTGGCATGTATGCATCGTATATTGTCAAACTGGCAATATTCAGCTCTGCAAACAGCCTGTACAGAATTTCTTGGTTGAAATAATAAACCCTATTACGAACATGCTCCAAAGTTAGTGCTTTCATGGAGCCACCCAAAGAGATTAATTGTTCCACAGAGCTTAATAAGGGTAGAGATCCATATTCATTCAGCACCCCCAGTGGTCCCCGAAAAATCAAATTTCTCACAGTCAGATGCTCCACAGGAGAATACCAAATAAGCAGGAAAATTTGCAAAATGATAGCCCATTCTAAGTCCACAGTATCAAGCATCAGAGCTGTTGTCTTTATTTTCTTCAGAAGCATTAAAGAAGGAGAGGGGAAATCTTTGTAGCTCAAGGTATATCTTAAGTTAACTATTTTTAAGTTTTCTGAAGTGCTCATTCCATCATACAAGAGGGAAAAACTGAAGTTTTTGTTCGCTGCAAAAGCAATGTGAAGGCTCCTTGTATTCAAGACTGTCAGACTCTGAGGCTCATATAGATAAAAGTCTTCTAAGGTCAGGAAGATGGTGTGCAGCTGCAAATGTATGATATACCTGAAGTCTGACCTTTGTATCATCGTGGCACTTAATCCTAGGTACTCCAAATGAAACATGTTTCCAAATTCCTGACAGATAGGCAGGGCAGTAAATTTATTGAAAGAAAGATCTAAATGTCTAAGATATGCAAGGGTTTGACAGTAAACTTTCAAAATGTTATTATGAGATAAATCTAAGTATTCTAAATCTTGATTAAAAATGAAGACGCTGAAGTCAAGCTCCGAAATTAGATTATAAGAAAGATTCAATACTTGAAGGTCAGAGAGAGAAATAAATTCTGAGATACTAAGTCCAGAGATCCTATTATGTGATAAATCTAATACATGAGTATGGACTGGAATGTTTTTTGGAACATTAGTAAGCAAACTGCTTGAATAATTTGCAATAAATTCATTTTCCACAGTTGGCTGGATATAATTCCATAGTGTGAATGTAAAGACACAAGCAAAGACATACATGTTTGTAAGGGGTCCCATTCTGCCTTTCAGGTTTATCTTGGTTTCTTACAGAAACCTAGAAGCATATCTTTGTTTGCTGTTCAATATGTCTCAGTGACGAGTCCAGCCCTATAAAAAGAAAACACATGGAATTTGCTGAAATTATTGTACTAATGAATTTGCACTTTATTGCTAAAATAAAAATCAATACAAAATTTATGTAATGAAAATTTTAGTTTTACATATTCTTGTTCTAAGTTCTTATCAACCCTCCTCACCCATATTCTGTAGTTCCAATTACTGATTTTCTCAGTTAAGTAGAAAACAATTCCTTTATAATGGGAGGAATACAATCAGTGGTGAGTTAAAAAACACAAAGATGTTAAGAAATACAATTTTCTCAACAATCTTCAAAAATTCAAAACCAGTACAAACAGACATCAATGCATTTAGGAGTAAAGATGAACAAAACAAGCCTCCCATCTGCTGTTTCCCTACGCCCCACATCCAGACACTTTTGGTGACAGAACTCCAAAAGCCCAACAGACCCTCACAGGAACCACTACAAATGCAACCTCTTCAGGCAGAAAAGCCAAAGGACATTCCTCTTCACACCCCAAAGACCCAGGGCACAGCCACACATCCCTTCAGGGTCAGCCGATCAGCTTTGTCTTTGCTATAGCACAAAGACATAGCGGTCCATCTTTCCAGTATCCAAGAAGCTTGAGGAGGAATTCTACTGTCCCATGAACATTGTAATGCCAGTCTGTCCAAAAGCGTACTAACAAGAAAACCACATCACAATCAGACACTAGGTATGAAGCAGTGGTACCCAAATCTGAAAGAAAACACTTGACGCTTCCAAAGACTCCAGGATTTCCCGTGTGTCCTAGGAAATTTCCTACATTTTCCAAATTATCCCACAGTTCCAACTTGACAAAGACCTCTCTAGAAATGGTGAGGGACAATGAGTCTAGTTCTAAGGACCAAAAAGCCCGGGGAAGGAAAGATTTTGTGGATATGGAAAATGGTCCGGTAGAATTAATATATGGTCATGTCTATCAATAGTCTACATAGATTTGGAGAGGCATCGGTCCTATAATGAAAAAGCATGACCTGGGCATTACTGTCTTGTCATCAAGCATTTAACACAGCACACAGACAACCTGAAGTATGAACAACACATAAACTGTTTCAGGAGATAAAGAGTCCCCATTTTTTTTCCCATGCTGATTTTGTTTGGAAAAAACCCAAAGTTTGAAAATTCTGCCCCCGTGTAATCTTTTGTTAAATAAAAACCAAAAGCCTGTTTTTTCAGTTCTAGGTTATAACATGTGTTAGTTCTCATTAATCTGAGTGACGGATACCAACACTAATCCCTTCCCCCTCCAAGTCTCCTACCAAGCTTACTGAAGATTTCTATCAAATAAGTAAAGCAAAAATATGTGTAATTAACATCACAAAAAGCACTAAAAGAATAATCAGTAAAGTGTAAATTCCTACCTCAATAGAATCCAATTGAGAGGTCAAATTCTGTCTTCAGAAAGTCGTGCTAGCGTATCAGAGTACAGAACAGAAATGAAGCTGAGATGGTTAGTCAAAATACAATATGACTTACAAGAAGAACTGAAACAAGAAAAACTGACCCAGCTTCCCTCAAAGAGCAGGTGACTCTGTCCTTCAGAGTCCAGGCTGGTAAAGCAGCTCTCGAATCAAATAAACTTTGATCTGGAATTATCTGGAGGAACTTCCCCCTGGGCAAAAGGGATGTCAGGAACAAAGCAAGAAATGTTCTGAAGGAAGAAAAAAGTCAATGGTTCATTAAGTTACTGTTCATGCTACGCTATACACTGCAAGAAGGGACTGTATAGCACTGAAGAGTGTTTCAGTCAAACAATAAAGCAGATATGTGTAGCAAAGCAATATTAAGAATCAGCGGTTACCCCTCCAACACTATTTGTGATGGTATTAAATTAGAGTTGGCTGAGAATGAAAATTGTCATACTAAACTGTTTTTTTCCTTTCTTCTTTGTCGAAATTCAACATACAGATGAGCACTTTCACTGGAATTTCAAAATGCAAGAATATCTTCTAAGAGTGAAGAAACACCAGCACCTGAGATTTGATGGAGTACAAAATACATATAACAAAAAGAAAAAAATATAAATAATGGAGCAAATATAACCCACCTTTTCTGCGTGGAATTCATCTCCGATTGAAGAACTGGCAAAAGACCTCTGCATAGTCAATCAACATCCTCAAAACAGAATTTAAAACATATGTAATCTTCAAGCTGAGGAATCTCAGGAGATGCTAATTCATCAATAATTACTGCCTTAAGAAAATTCTGTTCTTTCTACTTCCTATGTAGGCTATATAATTCTAAAACAGTCCAGACTAGAAATACATTTACTTCTCCAATATTTACATAACTGTATGGTTTAGGAGGAAATAAACCTCTGTGGTACAGAATATTTACCAAGGCAAGACTGTTGAAATAATTCTGCATTTCTAATTTCATGTCTATTTCTGATGGTTACACAGATGTTCTAGAAATTCATCAACTGCATCTCCTCTTTCGCACACACAGAAAATAGGAAGCAGAACCCTCGCCACCAACTTCTCTTCGTACCAAATCTCCTGCAGAGCTCTGTCCCCCTGAGTTATTTTCCTCAGCAACCAGAGTAATTAATGCAGCACACTGACAAATAGAAAAAGCTTAGATCTCAAAAGCAAGGGCAAACTGGCACAGCTCAAAACCTTTAGAGGTCAGTCATCTTTACACTAGAGATGCCTCGGATGGTTGTCACAGATGCCCCACATTGCAGCTTTCTTCAAAAAATTATAAGAAATGAAACACAGAGAATATTCACTGTGATACGAAAGCTGCAAAGAAGCCATGAAGAACACAGCACTATAGGGCAATCTGGAGACAGAGGAATCCAATAAAGCAGCCATTCAGTTAAAGTCTTGGACAGGAACATGAGCCTAGCGAGCAAATCAACAGAGCAGAGAGTGAGCGCATTGCAAAGGCAGATATAAATAACCAAAACCAAAATCTCACTCCCATAAGCCCACAAACTAATATAACATGCTTCAGTAAGATTAATTAGCAAGGAAGAAAGAAGCAGAGATGACTAAATGAAGATTTATTTAATCTTAATGAATTTTAAGATTAAATTCATGAAGCATGTAGTGAATTCTTCAGGTATGAGCAAACTAGGGGAAGAGGGGGCACCTTGGCCTATTCTGGACTCAGTCTAGAGCTTACTCTGCCCCATAAAACAGCACCTTGGAGGAAAGCTGAAGGCAAGAAGGGATTCAGCTGAAGACAGCTGAGAAGTATGAAAATTTAGTCTAGATAGTGGTGCCAGCTATATTTCAAGCTTGCATTAGATTCCTTCTTAAACTTTTCTTTTGCAATTACCTTTTTAATTTTGTAAAGAAGAATGTAACCCTTTGCTGAAAGAAAATGTCTGGTTTTCATTTTGAGACTGATGAATAAGATAGTCTGAACTGAAACCATTCTGCTCTCCCTGGTGCAGCGAATCTGAGTAATACATTACAGAAAACTCTGAGACATCTGTGACCCAAGACAAGACCAAAGATCATGAATCTTTCTCAATAAGCAGCAAGAATCTGCTTGTCAACTGATACTGTCTTATCCTCAAGTTAAAGGAGAAGTTCCCACTGCTGGGCACTAATCCATGAAAATTAATAGACTAAGGCACTTGTTGACAGAACAATAGTATCACAATCAAAGTGAGAACTCAATTACGCAAACCAGTGGCAGTTTTACTTCCAACATAATCCACGAAAAAGTTTCGTTGCATGGACAAAATCAAATACACCATCAGGTCTTGTCAGAACTGACTCCAGTGCACCCAGAGCTGTAAAAAGCAAAAGTATCTACACCTTTAGTTGCGGTATGTTTAATTTTCTTATCACCCTTCTTTATGAGACTTTAAAATACATTCAAATAAATAGTTTGCCATAAAGAAAAATTTGCAACTAGTTAAAATAAAACTGATATTCCTGAATACCTCTGTTAAATCATTAGGAACATTGCACAATGTTATTTTTACTAACGAAATTAGCAAAGCTGTGTTTGGGGCTGGTTTCAGTTTACTGATTAAGTCATTTTGCATGATACACAAAACCTAAGAGGTAGTGTATTTCTGTTCATAAATACCATCCTTCCCATAGTCAGCATGTGTGTACGCTCATGCAGATACCTTGTTCCTTTTCTGAAGTTTGTACTGCTGGGTTTTTTTGTAGTTGATTCTATCAACGAGCACCTATCTTCACAAACAGCCTCTGCTCAAGGCACATTTCACGCTTCTGCCTGTATGTTGTGATTACCTACCTGGAGATGAACCACAGCTACACTCAGCTGGATATCAGAAGCTATTCAGGACCAGCACTGTGCCCAAAGATGTAAAGAATCTCTCCAGCCAGTACTGCAGAAGGGAACTTCCAGGTGCAAAACATCAAGTTAAAACATAGCCAGAGCAGATGGACTCATCCAAGCACTCATGAAAAGTTAACACAATTATTGAAGGTTGCAAAGCCACTGTCTGGTCATATCGAGGACCTTATCTTCAGCTGCAACTCTCATTGTCACAACTTAACCCCGTGTGTCAAGTAGGTGACACAAGGGCTAAATATGCCACCACAAGTCAAATTGAGCAGAGGCTGTATCACTTTTATGTCCAAGCCTATTTTGCTTGGGCATAAATAGACACAAGGATCAATGTCCTGGGTTTGGCCAGAACAGGGTTAATTTTCACCGGACTCCAGGAAGGGGCACAGCCGGGGGGTGGGGGCTGACCCCACCTGGCCATACAGAGCCGGGTATTCCATACCATGTGCCGTCACGCTGGGTTCC